GGACGACTTGGAGTTGTACCTTGACCTTATGACAACTAGAACCGGATACTTAATAAAACACACCCTTCCAAGTTCCACAGACAACCCGGTGATCGCTTTTCTACAGGGCGACGAGGAGAGGATCGCCGGGTAGGATTATGCTATGCGATGCTACTGGAGATGCTACTTGGAGATGCTACTTGGAGATGCTATTTGGAGGACTTGAGTCTACTCTCTTCTACATGCTGCAAGACGGAGGCTGCCAGAAGCGTAGTCTTCGACAGGATTAGCTATCCCCCTTTTATTCTGGCATTCTGCAGTTCAGTCCACCGATATGACCCCTTTACACATATACCCATGCATATGTAGTGTAGCTCCTTGCTTGCGAGTACTTTGGATGAGTACTCACGGTTGCTTTCTCCCCTCTTTTTCCCCTTTCTTTTTTTTCTGGTTGTCGCAACCAGATGCTGGAGTCCAGGAGCCAGACGCCACCATCGACGACGACCCCTACTACACTGGAGGTGCCTACTACTACGTGCTGCCCGCTGACGACGACCTGGAGTAGTTTAGGAGGATCCCAGGCAGGAGGCCTGCGCCTCTTTCGATCTGTATCCCAGTTTGTGCTAGCCTTCTTAAGGCAAACTTGTTTAACTTATGTCTGTACTCAGATATTGTTGCTTCCGCTGACTCGTCTATGATCGAGCACTTGTATTCGAGCCCTCGAGGCCCCTGGCTTGTATTATGATGCTTGTATGACTTATTTATGTTTTAGAGTTGTGTTGTGATATCTTCCCGTGAGTCCCGGATCTCGATCGTACACGTTTGCGTGCATGATTAGTGTACGATTGAATCGGGGGCGTCACAGTATTGCAGAATTGTAAAGAAGGAAGAACATGGAACAAGTTCATCGTTAATGATGGATTTGTGTTCTGTGCTAACAAGCTATGCATTCCAGCTAGCTCCGTTCGTCTTTTGTTGTTGCAGGAGGCGCATGGAGGAGGATTAATGAGACACTTTGGCATGAAGAAGACGGAGGACATACTTGCTACACATTTCTTTTGGCCAAAGATGAGACGGGATGTTGAGCGCTTTGTTGCTCGCTGCACTACATGTCAAAAATCTAAGTCACGACTCAATCCTCATGGTTTATATATGCCTTTGCCTGTAGCTAGTGTTCCTTGGGAGGATATATCTATGGACTTTGTTTTAGGTTTACCACGAACAAAGAAGGGGAGGGATAGCATATTTGTTGTCGTGGATAGATTCTCGAAAATGACACACTTTATACCATGTCATAAAAGCGATGATGTTGTTAATGTTGCTGATTTGTTCTTTCGTGAAATTATTCGCTTGCATGGTGTGCCAAATACTATTGTTTCAGATCATGATACTAAATTTCTTAGTCACTTTTGGAGATGTTTATGGGCTAAGTTGGGAACCAAACTGCTTTTTAGTACTACTTGTCACCCCCAAACTGATGGACATACTGAAGTAGTCAATAGAACATTGTCTAATATGCTTAGGGCTGTTTTGAAGAATAATAAGAAAATGTGGGAAGAATGTTTGCCTCATATTGAATTTGCTTATAATCGTTCATTGCATTCTACTACTAAGACGTGCCCTTTTGAAATTGTGTATGGTTTCCTACCTCGTGCACCTATTGATTTGTTGCCTCTTCCATCTTCGGAGAAGGTTAATTTTGATGCTAAACAACATGCTGAATTGATTTCAAAAAATGCACGAGTTAACTAAGGAAAACATTGAGCGTATGAATGCTAAATATAAACTTGCTGGAGATAAGGGTAGAAAACATGTTGTGTTTGCACCTGGAGATCTTGTTTGGTTACATTTGCGTAAGGATAGATTTCATGATTTGCGCAAATCAAAGCTAATGTCACGTGCTGATGGTCCTTTCAAGGTGTTAGAATAAATAAATGATAATGCATATAAACTTGAGCTGCCTGCAGATTTTGGGGTTAGCCTCACTTTTAATATTGCAGATTTGAAGCCTTATTTGGGCAAGGAAGATGAGCTTCCGTCGAGGACGACTTCATTTCAAGAAGGGAAGGATGACGAGGACATCAATACCATTATTACACCCACAACTCCTGCTACTATACATATTGGAGCAATTACTAGAGCTCGCGCATGCCAATTAAATTACCAGATACTTTCGTTTCTTGGTAATGATTCTAATGTTCATGAGAATATGATGCTGCCTAAATTGGATACATTTGTTTTACTTACAAATGAAGGGCCTAGCTTGGAGAAGGATGAACATTGGAGCAAGAACAAGCATGGAGATGATGGCATGCGCAAGGGGAACAAGAACGGAGTTACAAGTGATGATTTCAGGACGTTGAAGCCATCATAATGAGTGCATGAAGCCTTGGACGAAATATACAAGATGCTACTTCATAACTTTTGTCCAGAGGCTATTCTAGGTGTTGCGTCACCTTATTATTGGGTCAAGTCCATGTAATTTTGAAATACTTGAGTATAGGTTGTTTCTAGAGTCCGTATGTGTGGGGAAACAAGAGATAAGGTTGGTTTCGGACCCCTTACCCAAGGGCCACGAAATCCCCCCTCTTCCTCCATATATACAACCCTTAGGGCGTCGTTTAGACTTTGGGTTTTGTTTAGATTAAAAGTTCGCCATAGCTGCAACTTCGCGTACTTCGTTTGTGTTCAACGACCAGACCAAGACGTCAGAGAACCCCATCTTGATCAATAAAGCTTTCATCTTATATTCGCAATATCCAGATTGCAATCTCAGTTTCTTGCTTGTTCTTCGTGTGCTCGCAGGAAATAACCTCTCGGAGTTGATCCTCGTGGTCAGGTTGATCGTGCTCCGGCGTGGTCAATAACCTCTCGGAGTTGGTTTAGCGATTGCTAAGGCGCGACGTCCTTGCACGTACGTAGTCGGATAGTCAAAGTCTACTCCTCCGAAACGATAATCACCATCTCATCGAAAGACGGGACACCTTTGCCTCTATCATCTCCTCTCCTCCTTCTCCTCCTCCCCATCTTCTTCTTCTTCTTCTTCTTCTTCTTCTTCTTCTTTTGCTAGTTTATCTCCATTTGGTCTTTTAGGCTTAGAGTAGGCAACCGAGTTTGGTGCAGGGCTCCTCTTGCCGCCATCACTTGATGCCTCCTCCTCATCATCATCATCATCCAAATCAATAGTTCCCTTGTGTTTCTTGCTCTCCTCTTGGACTTCACGGGGCTTCCATTTCTCTTCATCCTTCAACACTTCGTAGCAGTGGGGCAACACAAATGCTCTCCCTTTCTCGACCTTACTTTTATTGGTCTTCTTCTCTTCTCCATGAAACAAGTTTCTGCAATATTGAGCTACAAACAAAATAACACGTTACTACTTGAAACACAAAAGGTGAAGCATGAACATGGAACATAAATAAATGGCATTTACCCCATCTCTATCATTAGTGCCACTGGGTTTATCGTGTCAATCAACTTCATTGCCGTCACCCACTTTTGACAATCTCTGTTGATCATCGACCACTGGGAGAAGAGATCTACCTGTGCGCTCAATTCCACTCTTGTTGTGTGCATCAAAGAACTCATTCATACGAAACCAATATGTATCTCTAGATTGGTCCCCTCCAACTGTGGCATCCATAGACACGGTCAACCATGTATTGCATAGCGAGACGTCTTCCTCAATGGTGTAGTTGCACACCCTTCCTTTCGGTGCATCGACGATACACTCACCATCCTCATCCACTTCATACTATGATCATCTGCATGCACTTCATTGGTTTGAGAACAATGACAATTATTGGAGTGAACACTCATTGTTGACATGTATGTGTCATCATTGAAACTACAAAGTACGATAAAGAAAACCAATCAAGCTATCCATATGTATACATTTATCTAAAGAACAACAAAGAAAAGGGGAAAAACTCATACCTTGTGGGCATTTCATCAAACACCTTGTGCGCATCGGCCGCCGACGCTACAAATTGCGAGCTATCCAGCGCTTTGGGCGGCAGTCAGGCGGAGGTGCAGCCGGACGCGCTGCATGTTTCTTCTTCGGGCGCCTAGAAGCGCCGTCCACTTTCTTCTTCTTTTCGGACGTCGTCGTCGTCACCGTCGCTATATTTGGTCGCTTGGAGACGGAGCCCCGTGGCTTCATGGCGGGCGGCGGCGCCATTTCACCACCTTGCGAGGTCGTCCGGGGCGCCATGAAAAGACCGTGCGCGAGACCGGTGCTTGGAGGAGGAGGGGCGCCGGCGACAAAGCCAAAGGTCAACCCCACGCTAGGGTTTTGCGGCAGCGGCGGCGACGAAGGGGTCGCGGGTGTAGGGAGGGGTTGGCGGGATGTCGGCACGACCTTCTATCGGTGTAATTTCGCTGGCGGCGGTGCGGGGCGAAGGCAGGACGACCGAAGAGGTCAGGGTGGCAGTTGGTCACTCGCGCGCAAATATTCGCTGGACAACGCGCGGGAGCTGGCGCACCAAATACACAACACTCACGATGCCGTTTCCCTCATCGCGCTGAACCAACTTTACTGCGCACACGATTTTATCATGGCTGCTAGAGCGTCAGTTTCGGTCCCGCGCACGCTATGAAGTCGTTGTGTGTTGGAGATGCTCTTAGCCACGACAAGTCGACAAAAGCCAATTCTATCGAGCAGCAATTCGCCCGTACGCAGCTCTATCTCTCGCCAATTCAAAAAGAGAGAAGAAAAAAAAAGATTACCTCTATCTCTCGCCGCAGATGGCGAACAGCTAACCCTAGCCGCCGCCACTGCACCGGCGCCTCCCCTGCCCCACTGACTGGCTTCCTAGGGCTGCCCTCCGCCCGTTTCTTCACCGGCGCGTTGGTCGCGACCCCGCCACCCTCGCCAGCGCTGGTCCCTGCACGGACGGCACCACGCCGCCGCCCCGTACAAGATACTGCACCGACTCCCCAGCCCGTCCTCGTCCTAGGGCAGACCCCACCCCCGCGGTTCCGCTTTCTTAGCACTCTCGCCGTCGCGCCGCCGTGAACCAGGCATGACGACGCGTATCGCGCCCGGCGTGGGCGCGAACCTCCTCGGGCAGCACTCGGCGGAGCGCAACCAGGACGCCACCACCTACGTTGGCAACCTCGACCCGCAGGTTGGTGTTCCCCCGCCCCTACTCCCCCCCTCCTATCCATCCCTGTAAAAGTATAGATCCCCACCTTGCTCTGAGAGCGGGATCCGTGTATCCTGTCGGCGACGCCGTCCAGTTTTTGCTTGATGAATATGGATTTGTCTTGCGCGGTCAAAATGGCTAGTCCCTGCTGCTAAATACATGGCCTTCCACTGTTTCAAGTGCAGCAACGCTGTCACGTGCATTGGCCGCTAATCATTCGTTGGTGTAATGTTTAGATGGACAGGAGTCGACTGTTTAGATGTGCATCAATCACATTGCTATTTGATAGTTTGTAACTGGGATTATTTTTCCTTTCTTCAGTAGGAAATTATAACCATGGAGTTCTGTATGTGTTTTCTTTTTTTTAGGGAGTATGTGCTTATGGATGATTGTAAGTTGCAACAACTCAATCCTGTTGCTTCCATTGAGAAATTATAAATCCACTTAAGGAACCTGTGCCTTCTTGTATATTGTAGAACCGCATATTCCTCCCTTTGGTATCATTATTTCCAGACATCCATGCTGATAGTTCTTCCTGTATCATTTTACAGGTTTCTGAGGAATTACTGTGGGAGTTGTTTGTCCAAGCAGGCCCTGTTGGTAAGTAGCATGTCCACAATGGGACACTTTTCCTGCCCTATAATGTACAGGTTGATTCTTGTTGTGAACTATCTTCCAGCATCTTGCTCTAATCGATTTATATGTTTGGTGCTGAACTGCGGACCATTTTCACTTATACCGTGAAATAGAAATTTCATCTCAAATATCATGTGAATAAATTAGTGAGTTTGATGGTTAATAAATAATGATCCCTTCTTTTGTTTGTAGTTAATGTCTATGTCCCAAAAGACAGAGTTACAAATCTACACCAGGGCTATGGGTTTGTAGAATTTAGGAGTGAGGAAGATGCAGATTATGTAAGTCTATTTGTACTGGCGTGATAGCAATTTATTTTACCTTCATTTATCTCATCTAGATGTAAACTGTTTTATTTTTGAATTTTTGCTTTGCTTTTTGTAGGCTATTAAGATTTTGAACATGCTCAAATTGTACGGAAAGCCAATAAGAGTAAACAAGGTAATCACTTCTCTTGACCCTCCCAGCCTTCCTCAGCACTTCTGCAGCAGTTATGTAATACTCCCTCCATTCCTTTATATAAGGTGTATTAGTTTCGGCACGGTGACCAAGGCACATAATTATAGACAATGTAGGACGAAATCGCTCTTGGCTAATTAGTTGATTATCGACAAGTAAATCATTTAGACTAGTAAAGGAAGAGATACACGCAATCGAGAGAGAGATACTTTCCTTTTTTCTCTACAAGGAGATATATATGCAATTAGGAGAAATATACTTTCCTTTTTCTGGAGGGTTAAAAGCGGAATTAGGATGAATTAGAAGAAATGCACCTTACATTTTGGAATTTTATCAAAAAACAAATACACCTTATATAAAGGAACGGAGGGAGTATATAGTAACTGGACTAACACTGAGATCCCTTACTTTTGAACTTTATGATAGTTGGTAGTTTAATCTCGCATGCTTAGAAATTTAGATGATACTTCAAAGGGTTTTTATCATTTATGCCACTAGTCGTGCCCAACTATTCAGTTTTGCCACTAGGAGTTTCAACTGGTCAAAAAGGCAATCGCACCATTAGGCGCATGCTCAAAAATATCACTAGACACCATTACTGTCAGCTAAAAGCCCGTTTACCATGTTATATGACCAAAATACCCATGGACCAACATGTCAGCTCTCCCTCTATCTCAATACGATAAAGTGTGGGTCCCACTCGATCCCCAACGACGTTCTTATTTTCCTCTAAAAATTATTCGCTGACTTACTCTTGACAAGTGGGGTCCACATTTATCATTGTGAGATAGAGAGAGGTGACATGTGTGTCTAGGGGTATTTTGGTCATATAACATGGTCAACGGGTTTGACCTGACAGAAATGGTATCTAATGGTATTTTTGAGCAAGCATCTCACGGAACGATGGCATTTTTGAGTAGTTGAAACTTCTAATGGAAAAACTGAGTAGTGGGACACAACTAGTGGCATAAATGATAAAAACCCTACTTCAAAACATCGACAAACTGATACCAAATTCCTGATTGGGGGGATTGGATCCGTTGAGTAAAATAAATGTCTTCAAATGTTGATATTACTCTTTCCCTCTGATGTTACTGCTACTGTTTGAACAACTTAATTAACGTGGATGATCATCTTGTGGTAAACTGTCTGATTGACAGAGTTCAGTACTTTGAATTCTCATTTTCTATTTTTACAAACCTATTGCTTCCTGGTAACTTGAAGTTTCTTTATTGTATGTAGTCCACATGAATTTGTTTAATGATACATCATACAGTTAGGATTTTAATCACAGTGACCTAATATGACTATGCCATCTTTTTCCAGGCTTCCCAAGACAAGAAGAGCTTGGATGTGGGTGCGAATCTTTTTATTGGCAATCTTGATCCGGTAGAAACCTAAAGCCCATTTTCTCTTATTACTTTATATTCATATTAATATATGTAGCTAATAGTTTTGTGTTTGCTTTGTCAACAGGAAGTCGATGAGAAGCTTCTCTATGATACCTTCAGTGCATTTGGTGTGATTGTGACCAACCCTAAGGTGACAATTATATAAACTTTCTGCATTTGGCTATGTACTTGCTAGCTAATTATCTCACGTCACAATGGGAACTGATTTCATCAGCATTAGCCTCTTATTACGATCTCCAGAATCAAAGAAGAGCAATCGTTATGCTTAAATTAACCTAATATTATTGCATTTGCTTGTCTGGTAGTCTTCCTTGCTTCAGTGTAATACTTATCTGGTAGCATCTTCTTGATTTAAAATTACCCTACATGCTCCCTGCACTGTTCCTCTAATTATGCCATGATAGGGATCAAATGAGTTAAATATTCTATCTTCTTTTCCCTTTGCATATTTGACGCAAATGCATGTTGGTGTCATGACTGTCATATTCTGAACTTCCTTTTTCAAGATAATGCGGGACCCTGAAACTGGAAATTCTCGAGGTTTTGGCTTTGTGAGCTATGACTCCTTTGAATCATCTGATCAAGCTATAGAGGTAATGTCATTCGCGCAATACTGCTCTATATTTTGGCTTATTGTGATTCTGTCATATGTTTCAACTGTTACCTTTGCTGTAATTTCCCAGGCCATGAACAACCAGCATTTATGTAATCGGCCAATCACTGTCTCATATGCTTACAAGAAAGACACGAAAGGAGAGCGCCATGGCACACCAGCAGGTATTGTATTTCGAAATATCTGTTGAGCTAGTTGTTTGGTTTCTTGTACAATAACATGGATCAGCTCTTGCTTATGTTGAAAGAATAATGAAGTTGGTTGTCTAGTCTTTATTAGGTTGTAACATTCTGGACATCGACTCTAGATTGCTATACTTCTCCAAATCCCCGCATTTAAAAAAAACCTGTTGTCTAATCTTGATTAGGTTGTTCCATTCTGGACATGGACTTAGATTGCTATACTTCTCCAAATCCCCGCATTTAAAAAAACCAACTAGACCAACAGGGACTTATTTGGGGAAACAACCCAGACACACACGGACACACCCTCTGGAGCCGAAGGCTTGAACATGGGTGGCAGGCCGGGCATGCTGTCGGCTGTGTGCCACTGGCTAACTGGTTGACGCCGAGTTCCCCACATCCCGACATTTGTGCTTTGACATTTTAGGTTCTTTTTAGTGCACAGGTTTCCTACGGAAATTTTTCCTGTGATGTCTGTACGGTTTCCTTAGGGAAGGGAAGGTTTCCTATGTTTAATAGGGTAAACATAACATCCACCCAAGACCAAAGGAAAAGCCCGTTCCTATGTTTTGGAAGCCTGTAGGTTTCAAGGTTGCACTCCACCTGATTCCTATGCCTTTTTGTGTTCCTTTGTTTTGCACTCACATGTACCGAACGGGCCTTAGGGTTTCAACTTTATTGAAAGTGATTTCCTTTCAAGTATTTCATCATTTAGTAAACATGATGGATCTTGATCTGATTTGTTGAAATTTTCCTGGAGGCATTTTTACTACCATATCACATGTTGTCACTGCTCTTGCCACCATTGCTGCCTATATATGCTGTAGACGGCTGTCTTGATCTGAAGATCTTATTATTACTACTTTTTCTTAACTTGTGATGACTCTGTTGTTATATGTTGGCAGAGAGGTTGCTTGCAGCGAATAACCCAGGATCTCAGAAGCATAGGCCTCACACAATGTTTGCAACTGCTCCGCCAACCCAAGGGCTTCAAAATGGTGGTGTTGGTGCACCTGTGCCACGGCCTTTTGCCAATGGGAATGTCCCAGGACAGATGCAACATGTCAGACTGCCGCCGCCACCTGTTGGTCAATACCCTCCCATGCAGATGCATGGACAGCCTGCCTGGCCTGGTCCTCCACAGAATATGCAACAAGTACCACCTCCTATGCAACAGCAGCTTCAATACAGGCTTCCAGGGATGCCCCCACCGCCGCAAAACATGATGCCCCCACCGCAAAACATGATGCCGCCACCTCATCACATGGCCAGGCCGCCTCCGCCACCTCCCAATATGCAAGCACCACCTATGTGGAGGCCACCCCCACCCCCACAACAAGGTGGTGGAATGCCGCCACCTCCAATGTCCATGCCACCTCCTCCACCGCCACCTTCTGGTTAAAAATACAAATGGGTTCCATTTTGGGTTAATTTGGCGCGCAGCAGTTGTACCAAGGGTGTTAAAATTCTTTCATATATTGTCATGTAGCTTGCAGCACTAGGAGAATATCAGAATTGAGAGAATTAGCGGACGGTGATACAAAATGCGTGACTTTTGTGATTGCATGTACTGTACCCGCCTTGTGTGGGTGCTGCTGCTGTGTGCTCTGCTTAGGACAATTATGGACCGTGGTCTGCTATGTCATCATTACATTGTTACTACTGACATGATCATGTTTTTAAACAGGCCCCTGGTCATTGACAGTTGTCGCTCAACTTTCGGCTATTTTCATGAAACAAGTAACACAATGCTTTTTCTATCAAGGTATTGTTAGGTTGAAAAACATGTTTGGCTGTGCGTTTATGAATAAACCGTTGGGCGTCAGGCTATAGTGTTTGCTAGCACCCACCGTTCTGAAATTTTATTTTGTTTAATGACAGTCTCTTTGGATGCAGTCCAGTGAGCTTTCCCTTGTAAGCCAGCCTGTATTTTCTTCTTTGGCTGAGATTACAGGGCGGTTAGAGTTAATAACCACACGAATGAATGAACTTTGTCACAACAGCTACACTGAGGCTACCTTGCAATATTCCAACACATCCCCATGTGCTGGTACATGGACATGGTGATGGTGGGTATCTATATTACTGCTGCCTACATATGTCCCTAGTGTCAACTTTCCCCTCTTTTTCTACCTTTCCCCGACTGAATCATAATAACCAAACCATGTGTTATGTCTCAATCGAGTCTTACAGACCATATTAGGGCAAGAACCAAAGTAGTCAACGATAGTATCAACTGAGATGGGCAGCTCCGATGGCCGCTATTGGCATAGACCATCCCAAGGGAACCATACCCGTTGCCTCCACCTCCTGCACTCCCACCGCCGGTTGCCGATCCGGCATAGTTGAACCCGACGTACGCGGACGCTTCGCCATTGTCCCTGGCAGAAGAAAACACACATTAGGCCCTGTTTGGATCAGCGTTTCCGTTCTAAATACATCCGTAAAATATACAGGCCTCGGTCTGTCGTTTCATTTCCGCGTGTAAATTGCTCATCAGTCGGTAAGTTACACGTGTAAACAAAACAGCCCCGTATTATTTTACATCCAATCCAAGCGCGCCCTTATGAGTAAGATACCACCACGAAAACCGGCAACGACTGCTTACACAGTTGCTTTTGGGTATTGGTCAAGCTCAGATCTAGCAGCGCTGTCATGAACGCGCACTGGAATAAGAATTCGGTTCCGGGGAACACGGTACGGGACGACAAAAAGGTCACGGGACACTACCTAGATCCAAACGCTCAATTAACTCCCGGTACAAGGTAGTAGTAGAACAATTGGATTGTTCCAAAAAAGAAAAGCCAAAACGTTTGTGTCTAGATACTCCCCCTGTTTCTTTTTACTCCGTGTATAAAACTTATTTGAAGTCAAACCACGTGATGTTTGATCAAAGTTATCTTAAAAAATATTGAAATTTACAATAGAAAAGTTACTCCATTTGTTCATTTTTGTAAGTCGTTTCAGACAATTTGCATGTTGTCTGAAATGTCTACAAGGCCTTATAAAAGTGAACAGAGGGAGTATATAGTATAGAAAGTAATTTCGTGATGCATCTAATGATATTGATTTCATAATGTGAATGTTGATACTATTTTTTCTTATATAGTTGGTCAAATTTTATGAAGTTTGAATCTGACAAATTTTATATGAGACAAATTTTATGAAGTTTGAATCTGACAAATTTTATATGAGACAAAAAAAAAAGAAAGGAGTAGTATCATTTTGAGCAAGATTGAAGTGATGGGACGTAAGATTCCGGGACAAAATCAGTGATCAGCGGCCCGGCGGGCTATTCTTCTCTACTAGTACTAGCACTACCAGGTAGCAGTAGCTACTAGCACACACGTTATTTTTTGTCCTTTGTTTTTTGAGAAACCACGTTCCTTTTTGTCTCTTGGTTTGACGATGGAGCGTCCAGGCCGCGGATGACAGAGCCACGGGCTGGATGATGGCGCTCTCATGCACGGCCGAATTTTTCTCGCTTTCACCCATGCGAGTGCCATGGGCAGTCTGAATTTGTCAGTACATCACTAGTATCTCTGCACTTGTACCCTGTACTATCTTCATAGTGCTCTGCATCTTCTAGTGAGAAGTCACAGTTTAATTAACCACCATGCTCTGTACTACAGGCGGAGCAAAGCATGGCCCGGTTTAATTATTAATTTAAAAATAAATCGACGCCCGTGTCTCTGCGAAATCGTGAATGAATCTTTCGACGGCATAACGCCGACATGGTTCGGCCAACGTGGTACGCAGCGCACATCTAAGTCCACGACATTATGGCCGGGCGGCGGCGGTCCTCGGATGCACATTCCCACTGCCAGGGAGGAAATGATTTTTGACTCCGGGCGCGGGAATGGGCGACTCGGGGCCGGGGACGGGGTGCAGTGCGGGGTGTCCGGCACGCACCCCGGCAACCGATGCCCGTTGGAGGAAGGCAAATGAGTAAAAAAGAAGAAGAAGAAACAAAAGGCAAAAAAGTTGGGGAACAAAGGTGTTCACGTGGGACCCGACAGCCAGCCGCGATCGATCGCAGTTTATCGCATGGTACGAGATATTTCAGCCCCCTGACCCACCCACGTAGACCGCAAGCCAAGGGAAGGGAAAGCGTAGTACCTTGGCCCGCCGAGGACGCCGGCGCCCATGGTGAGCTGGTCGACGAGCGCCGACGACTTGGGGTCGACGCCGCTGGAGGCCTTGTCGTAGATGTTCTCCATCCCTTCCCCGGAGGGCACGAAGAAGGCGCCGTTCACCATCATGTCCCCCTCCGTCCGCCAGTTCCACCCGCTCCACTGCCCTTCCTCCGTGTCCACGCGCTTCGTCACCTGCAACCCAAACCAACCACACCCGCTCATTCAAACTACTATCTGCTGGCCGTGACCTCAGCGGTTGCCTCAACCGGGCCGGGGAGCCTCGGCCCTCGGATGCCACCCCTGCCTCCGGCTGGCTGGACCAAAATCGGAGAAGCATGCATGCATGCACGCGCCACCTTTTTTGTAAAAATAAAAGGAGATGCTCCTACTACTACTACCAACACCAAAGAGAGAGAGATGGGGTAGTACTATGCACATTCATCGATCAGTGAGTGGTACCATTTCGCAGGACCATCACTAGTGTTCATTAATACAAACCTCATGTAGTACTAACTAGCAAAATAACCGCAGAAATGAGCATGATTTTTAACAGAAAACCCGGACCACTTTCCAGTGGAGAACACGTACGGGAAGAAAGAAAAATGGGACATGGAATAACAGGACAATGGTCACAGTACTTATTTGGCAACCACCGCATGGTACCGGCCCATCCACCGCCCAAAACAGAGCAAAGATCCAAACGAGGCGGTGAAAGCACAAGAACTCGGCAAGCAAAGAAAGGAACAGAGCAAACGGAGACCCAAAACCATGAGCAAACAAACCGAGGCGGCACGGCAAGAGAAAAGCACAAACCTCCTTGGCGTTGGGGTTTGCGGGGGCGATGTAGCGGTTGCCCTGGCTGTTGATGGTGGGGCTGGCGCTGCCGCCGATGGCGTACATCTCCCACGCCGTGTAGTCGTTGTTGACGATGTGGAAGTAGCCCCTGCGGCAGCGCGGCATCCGCTGCACCAGCTGCACGCCGAAGTGGTTGAACGCGATGGTCACCTGCATCCCCGAGTCCGGGAGGTACCCGTCGCTGTGCCCCAGCAGCATCACCTCGTCGTGGTGGGAGAAGTAGCTGTTGGACACGGTGATGCCCGTCGACCCCATGATGGCGTCCACCAGCCCGTCCGCGCACCGGGACAGCGCGCAGTGGTCCACCCACACGTCCCGCGCCGAGAAGAGCGAGATGCCGTCGCCGTCCGACCGGGTGCGCCACCCGTAGTGCGTCGGCGACGACCGCACGTTCGCGTTCCCCGCCGGCACGCAGTCGTGCACGTGCAGGTTGTGGATGATCACGTTGGACACGTACTGCAGCGTGATGCACGCGCCGCCGGCGACGTGCACGTTCGCGCCGCGCCCGTCGATGGTCTTGTAGCTGTTCACCAGCAGCTCCTCGTTGAGGCGGATGGTCATGTCCGCGGCGAACACGATCCACAGCGGGCCCTCCTGGATGGCGGCGTGCCGGAGCGTGCCGGGCGCCGGGTTCACGGGGTCGCGGTCCGAGGAGTCGGTCACAACGTACAACGGCCCGCCCTTGCCGCCCAGCGCGTTGCGGCCGAACCCGATGCCGCAGTCCGCCAGCCGCTGCCGGTCCTTCCACCAGTCCGTCCCGGCGCACCGCCAGCAGTCGTCGATCGGGTTGCCCGTCATGCACCCGCCGCCTCCGCCCGTCTCCTGCATCCGCCGCCGCGACGTCGCCACCTTGCTGCCCATGCCAACGCCGACACGCCGCCGTTACGTTGCGAAAGAAGCGCGTAAAAAAAGATTGCGAATTTGAAGTTTGCGCTGCCACATTGCGAGATTTCGAGGATAAGGTAGTACCTGTGGAAGTCGGCGACGACGGCGGCGGGGTCCGGGAGCGAGGAGTTGAGCAGGGGGAGGGAGGAGGCCGCGGCCCCGAGCAACAGGAGGGGGAGGAGCAAGATAAGGAGGGTGGATTTTGGGGCTCCTGCCATCTCCGGTTGTTCCTTTGGCTGGACTAGAGGGGCCGGAGTGGAGATGCAGATGATTTTATAGCAATGCAGGAGAGTGGCAGCAGGCAGCAGAGCGGGCGGGGCAATGGGGCTGAAGTTCTTGACATTTGGAGCTTGGGATTGGGGCAGCAATGGCCAATGGGGGGAGCGGGGGAGTGGTGTGAACGGGGAAGGGGAGAGAGAGAGATAGAGGGGAAGAGGAGACGGGAGGGGAGAGGAGGTGATTTGGTATCTCCTGGAGCAGATTTCTTCCTTGCTTGTTAAATGATACAGAAGGGGAATGTTTGGGA